GCATCCCTACAAAGCCGGGACGGAGCACGCCGGGTTCTCACCGGACCAGGCTCTCACATCACCAAGCGCGACGCGCCGTGAGGTATTCGGCGAGTCGCATGAACGGTGCGCTGCATCCTGCTAAGGATGTTCGGCATCTTGTGCTTATTCCCTTGCGTGCGGATGACAGCTGCGTATGACTTTCTTTATTTTTTATTTTCTGGTGCTTCACTTCCTGAGACAGTTGTAAGCAATGTGCAACTGCCTCGAGGGTGCTTGACCAATTTAACGCAACGTGGTGCGATCATCCCCCTTGCGCCGAGTGAGGGTTCTCGACCCCGCACAACATGATCTACTCGACCACCATTGTGGTAACCGCAAAAAGAAAANAGGGGGGGGAGCAAAAACGTCAATTTCGACACAGCAGTGCAAAGAGGCTACCGTAGGACCTGCGTTTGTAGCGTCTACCACCGTCCATCCCACCACCACTCATCCATCATCATTTGCCACCTGTCATCATGACGTCATCATGACGTCATCACATGACGTCATTCATTCACGTACCTGCAGCACCGCGAAGCCCTGGCTGGGCACCCCGCTCGTTCCCGTCACGAACTGAAGAACGCGCGCCAGCTGTTCTGGCTCGAATCCTCCCATCACCTCCCAGAACCACTTGACGATCTGACATCATGGCGACAAGCAAGGAGGCAAGGGCCATCGGCAGGTAAGGACAGGACTAGCCAGAGAGGTTGCTCCGGGAAAAAAGTAGAGAATAGTAGGGAACATCGATGACAAGCCGCAGTCGAAATTCACGTTTAGGATAGTCATCGCCGTTCACAACACTGGTGCCTGTCCAACGCAAAGCAGCGCGCATCATTCTTGACTAGCCCGCACGAGGATCACCACTACCCCCCCACCCCCCCATGCTATATCTTGCCGAGGGCCAGGGACCTGCCCCCCCCACCGCTGCAAAGAACCCCCCACATGTCGGAGGAACGCCAATACAGGGAGAGAAAACCGTGCGTCGTGTCGATTGTGTGTGTGTCTGCTGTGTTTTCCTCCTATTTATTATGGCGACAATCCCCCCATTATTCGTGGTGAGATGTGACCTGCACTCTTCAGAGTATGTAGAGTACTACACTCTTCAGTGTATTTGTTCGTACAACTACAACCATCCAGGGCCACGCACAGGAGGGGGTAAACACCAGGGCTTTTTCCTTCTTTTTTTTTTATTTCTTACGCTCCACCTTCCTCCTGCGGTGCGTGCTGAATTTATTTTTATCGCGAGAAGGGTCCAGCCATCTCTTTCCCTCGTCAACGGTGCTAACGTCGAAGTTTGGTACTCACGAGATTTATAAATTTCGCTTTCACCCGCACATTTCGTAAATTTTTCACCCCATGGGGATTCGAACTCACAACCTCTGCAACTAGCGAATTAAGAGGATACCACTAGACCACCGGGGCGACTGGGCCAGCGGTGAAACGGCTACCTTAAGGCAAGAATCAAACAACTGAAATCCCTTCCCCGCACCCCCCCATCTCGCTGCTGCCCCTTCCGAAATAAAAAGATTTATCACAACAAATAGCCTGCCGGTCCAATGAAAGCCCGGCGTGTTCCGTCACGGCTTTTTAGCCCGCTGACGACCCCCACTCGGTGCACCCCCCCCCCCCCCCCC